GTGCAGAAGTAAATTGTTTTGTTGTGTATCAGACGTCTGTTTGAGACTGAGGGGAAAGATGTGTGGTAATCTCAGATCAAATGTTAGGTGCAGCTGAGCAGCCAAATAGAAAATCCTCGGGGTCTTCTTGTGAGGTGTAGGTAAGTATCCAAAGTTTGTGTGTCTGTCTGCACTCTTGAGGTTCCCACATCTTCTCTGTGCACTGCACAAGTAGATTTCACTGTCTTTCTCTTAGGAAGAGAAGGGTTATAGCCTCCTGCTCCACGTTCTGTTCCTCATCTGTGGCCTCCAGGCAGCCAGCACCTTGAGGGAGCCTGTGCACACACGTGCTTGTTGTGCTCCAAGCAGAGTGTCAAATGAACCACTGGCCTGGTTTGCTAAGTAAATCAGAGACGCATCCTCGCACAGCAGCCCATCAGCAGGGGCGGTGTGCCTAACCCCTGCCCAGTTCAGGAGAGGGTGGTGGGTGCCCAGGGAAGCGAACACCAGGGCCACCAGCCTGGCCCCAACAGGGACGCTTTGAGATTTGCAAAATCAAAGGTGATCTCTTTTCTGTCCTGCAGTTGGGAAGATGGTCTGTCAGTAGTTTGTGTCTCATGTGCAAATGGCCTAACTGGGGCAGAGGCGGGAATCGGGGGGCTTTCGGTCACTCTGCAAGCCAATGTCAGAGCCAAGACTAAAACATGGTTCTTGAAATCCCAGGCTCCATCCTCTATGGCCCACTGCCTCTCTAAGCATGTATAGGGTTTTAATGAAAAACACCAAATCTTAATTTAGATCAGGGTTCAAGAAAAATGTCCTATTCAATTACTTAATTATAGGTGAACTGTAATTATAAGACACAAACATGTCTTGCTACAAAGCACCAAGCAAAAAAGCAGAAAGAATTATTTGTTCTTCAATTTAGAAGAAGGCAGCTGATGATGCGTAAGTCTATCTGACACCTAGCAAGCTGTGTGATCGTATTTGTTAATCTTTTTAAGTTTACATTTTATTAGGATAGGGTTTCAAGAGAAAATAGGATAAATGAGATTAAATCTGTCACTGTATATTACTCTCCTCTGAGTTACGAGCAGAATCATTCTATGTCAGAGAAGTATCATTATGAGGAAAATGCTGCCTGTGTGATTGTGTGCTTCGTTCAGAAAAATTTGAGATCCGTAATTATCTCTAGTATGCCACAGTGGCATGTGCTGGCTCTTAATTTCTGCAGTAAACAAAACCGTTGAAGGTTTCTCTCCTGAGCAGTTCTTGATGTAGCATGCCTGGTACCCGCAACAGCAGCAATATTATCCTTCAAGTCTCCTGGTGCAAGTGAGGGATCCAAACTAACTTGGAATAGAGCACCCATCGTACATTAATTTTCAAATCTGCCTTGAACTTAAATGTTGACTGTGCAGTGAGGAGTAATGGCCTTGGGGACCAGAGAGTCTTCTGAGCTGTAGATATGCCAGGTGAGGCACGTCTAGCTGCTTATGCAAAAAAGTATAGCACATCTGGTGCTGTGTTCCATCACTTAAATTTCAGTGGTTCAAGGATATTGCCTTTGACCTCTGCAATTACCATGATTCTGCAGGTGCTCCAGCTAACACAAAGGGTGCAACTTTTTTTTAACAATAATTAAGCTGTAATAGAAAAGCTCTGCTTTAGGACTTTGAGGTTTTGCTCCAGATGCACATCAGAAATCTTGGGATTTAGTTTTTATCTCAGAAAAATGTGGTGGTGGTGCTCCATTAGGGGACTATTCACTGCTCTTGGCTCTGCTTAATTTATACGGCCCTTTAAAATTTGTGGTACCCTTCATGCTGTATAATTCTACTGTGAGATGAGTTGAAGACACAAGATTGTAGCCTCCTGAAATTTTGAGTTCACCAACCAAAGAAAGCTTTGAATCCATGTGTTGATTATCTAGATTCATAACAGCTTCTGTTAGAAAAAGCAACTGATTTGTCCCATAGATCAGTGTTATTGCTGCTCCAAGCAGGTCTCCTGGGGACAGGATACGCACAAAGTAAAAAGAAACTCACTACAGGACCTGCTCAAACATTTCTGCAGCTTCCTTCTGAAGGCAGAGCACAGAGGGTCACAAGCCAGACTTTTGCATGATGGATTAGTGATAAAACAACCTGCCAGACTTGGATTAGAATTTCTGTTACTTTGCCTAAAATTATATGTGCATTAGCAAAGGGGGACAAAGAAGATGTATTATTTTTTGGGAATCCTAGTAACAGTTTTATTTTCTTTTTCAGACCTTTTTGCAGTTACGAGCCAGGACTTGATCTCCACATGTGTTTTTGTTAGTCAGTCTAGTTTACAAATGAGGCCCCTTTTGTCCCATCTAATTTTATGTAATCGATGATGCTGCATAAAGATTGTGAGAAGGAAAAATGGAAGGATTGTGAACAGACCTTCTGGCTGATATGTACAATGACTCACTCCATCCTTTATTTCAACTTCCATGAAGTATTTTCAGATACACTATTTACCCAATAAATGAGTTGTTCAGTTTAGCTTATGGCTAAAGTTTTTCCTAGTATTTTAATGTATTTGTTGGGAACATGACAAAGTAAATCACAAATGAGAACATTAACAAATGCTCACATTAATCATCTGAGACAGTCTCATTATAATCTTGTTCTGAGTAACTAGTTATCTGTGAGAAAGGGTTTCCTGTCCCTTGATTTGCCAACATACTTGACTTTACTGCCAAGGAAATATCTCCTTTATGCTCGACAAGCAATGCGTAACTTCATAATCTTTCTCTGTGTAGGCAATTTCTTCATGGGAAGAAATGAAGTCGGTCATGCCCATTACTGAATCTAATTTTACTATAATTTAGAGGGAAGAACCCTTCCCTGGGTAGAATTCATTCCATAACTGCTTATTTCAGGATTTCTTTTGCTTTCCTCCAAAGCATCTGGCACAAACTGTTGTTAGTGGCGGGCCTGCAGCTTGCTTGGCAAGGTCACTGCGGCACATTTCATGGCGAGTGAGGACCTTCTGCCTTGCCTCGGTTTTCAGTCGTTGGCAGCTGATTTGAGAAAAACTGAGCATGGCAGTAAGTCAGTATGTTGAAATTCCACCTCCTGGGAGATGTAAGGGTCTTAGGGTACCTCATGGAGTCAAGCTGTCTTCAGCTGTCTGTCTGAGGTAGTTTATCTCCATCAGCTTTCTTTTCTGCAAGACCTGCTCCTTTACCCAAGCTCCACAACCACCTGGATGAGATGTCAAATGCAAAGGAAACACAGAGAAATTCAGCTCTCCTCCACTGAACTCTCAGCCCTTTCCTATTCTCTCAATAGCTATTCATTTCCTGGGCCTTTCCCTGCTAAGACCAGTCCCAGAAGAAGCCCAATGATTCTGCTCCCCCTCTGTGGGCTATAGCAAAGCATCTTTACTCAAATTAGAATATTTATTTTTGCCTTCTTCCCTGCTTAGGTTTGTCCCTGGCCACAGACATACCTTGCTCTCGGCTTTACAGTTCCTTCACCCTGGGCAGCGTTTGTCCATCTTTCACTCGCTCCAGGCCAGGCTGATTGAAGCACGCGCAAGGAAAGGTCCTTTAAAAAGCAGTTTGCAGCAGTACAATGTTAAAAGCCTGGCTGTGAAGAGGAGGGGAGCGCAAAACCATCTCTTCCTGCCTGCTCACGAAGAAATGGGAGGAGAAAACATGGTGCCCCTCTAATGCTGACCACAAGAGTGTGTTTAACAGTGTCCCCTCAAGGTCAATGACACCATTCCCAGCTGTTCAAAACAACATATTGGTAGCAAAACCAGTGTGAAATAGATTTGGGAGAAGGCTGGTTGGTTGTTGTTGTTTTTTCTTTCTCTCCGCAGGCTTCAGCCTGGCAGACAACCAGATTCAACCGTAGATGTAATTCAGGCAAAATACACTTACTCCAGAATATGTGGGCTGAGGTATGATTTATGCTAATGGTGGCAAGGTATTGCTGCTGGATGGCTGTCAGCTCAGCAGCTTTGGAGGAGTGCCTGGCTGTCAAGGCAGGTGGAAATCCAAGGAGCCATTCAGTCAGGGGTCTTACTTTTTTCAAAGAGATTTTGTCCCACATTCTTCCTTATTTGTATTTGCAAGATTCATGAGATTGATCAGATTTTTCCCCTCAGGAACCCAAAAACACCAAACCTCTTTATGCAGAACAGAGAAGCAGATTTGGTCTAGTGTTTGGAGATCAGTGTTAGAGAGGCTGTAAATGGCTGAGTGAATCAACACTGCTTTTCATTGGGTAAAGGTGCCTGTAAGACAGGCTGTTTTCTGCCTTGGTCCTGCCCTCCTCTGCTGGTGGGAAGTGTTCTTCTTTGCAGCTAGAGCAATTTTCCTGTAACTAAGAGGCATTTCTCCATCCCCTTTCCAAAATATCATATTTTTTCTCCCTTACCCTTTATCTTCAGTTCCCCTCAGTTACGTTCACCAGGTGGGCAGCAAGCCTTTCTGGTGTTCCTGAAAAGTGTTTCCATGGCAGATGCCATCCACTTTCTTTTTGATACTATGTTCTTGCATTCTGCTGACACCTGCAGAGCCCATGCTCAGTCTGACTAAACTTTCTCCCAAGGAGAGGTTTTGTAGTGTTGGTTCTGGGTGTTATTTGGAGTTGAAAACCACTCGGGGAAGCGCAGTGACAAGTGGGCGTGCTTCTCTGTACCTGCTGTGGACATCAGCAGTTTAAGAATCCTATTCTGCTTTACACCAGTGAAAACTGAAAGTAATGCCAACTGCAACTGGACTGTGTGGAAAGTAAACAGAAAAGCAACAATGGGCTGAAGCTTTTACACAGAGAAGCAAAATGCCAGTTTGCAAATAAGGCAATAGCATTGCAAAGCCTTGTGAGCCGTGTGAACAATTGGTGCTTTCTGTGCTATGGAACAAAGCAGCTTTACAGAGGGTGTCTGCGGTGATCACCCAAACTGGCTTTATGGAAATTTCTGTTGTTAAATTGCAAATCCAGCCTTGCTGCTACTCTGTGTGATGATGGTGACTGGGAAGAAACTATGTGTTACAGCTGAAAGAGCCCTTACCTGTAACTTCTCTTTTCCACAGGTGCCCCTGGTTGACAAAAGCAATCTCCCCAGCCATCCCAGTGTACAATGGGCTCGTGTTCTTGTTTGTGCTGGCAAACTTCAGCATGGCAACTTTCATGGACCCTGGAGTTTTCCCAAGAGGTAACAGAGAATGGGACTGTTGGGGGGGCTGGGGGGGATTTGAGAACCCTGAGCCAAAGGAGGTGTCAGGTATCCAAATACACTGTGTGCTGACTAATCCCCTTTTTTCTGATATTCTTTCTTGTGGACTTTGTTTATTTATTATACTCAGCTGGGAGTAGAGGTGGGATGGTAGTGAATGCTGGATACCCTCCATCTCTCTTATGAGCTAGGAGGTGTCAGTTGTCCTTGCACTTGCTCAGACTGGCAGTCGAGGACACAGGGTTGCATAGAATGATTCTCCTTGAGTAGCTCTCCTGACTGATGTGATTGCAATTGCCGTCGCCTGTGTTACACTGGCACATTGGATTTAAGTCACTGTCTTCACAATAGGTAGCAGAGCATGGTGGAGGGGAGAGGCTAAACTTTCTGAAACAGCTTCATCAAAGCAGACCTTCCAAAAAGCCTTAAAACAAAGGCAGAAGCATTGAACACTAAAAAAGATAATGACTAAGGCTTGCCTTAGAGTGTCTAAGAGTGTATGTAGGTTTAGAAGGATATGCCTGCTTAAATTAGTACTGATTCACAGCTGATTAAATAGGATAAAGAGATGCTCAGCCTTTGTAATGGGAGCCACAGTGCAGCTATCTCTTTTAACACATCCTAATGAAAGAATTATCACCTCATTTTATCCCTCTTCCAATAATTATTCACATGCAGTTTGCATCAGAGACTGCTCTAGGCAGTCTTGCTGAACCAATGGATCTGTGCTCTCTGCAAGCTGTGCTTTCTCACCTGGATTCACTGAATTCAATATCTATTTTGAATTGCTCCCTGACAAGAACAAGGTACCTGTCCTGCTGGCTTCCCTGAATAGCACCTGCCAGGTTTCTCCAGGTACCAAGGTCTAATGATGAGCGTCTGTCTGCCATTCTTTCAGCTGAAGCTTTTGAACCACTGATGAAGTGTTGCAGCCCTCCTGTTGAGGAAATAATTGTGTGTAAAGGCAAACTAAGGCAAAGGCAAGATTCAGTCATTTGTGCAAGATTAAATGATGCAGTGTTCAGGTGCTTAAAGGTACCAATAGGTGCTAGTGAGATTTTCAAAAGAGCTTAAGCGCTTAGAGGTTTTAATACATTTCCTGTACTTTCAGTTCCTCCATCTCAGCAGAGATAGCAGTGTTTAAACATGCTTTGGGTGTGAGGTTATCAAAAGCAACCATGGTCCTTTGCCTTCGGTAGGAGAAGAGCTGGAATAAAATTGTTCAATTTTGAAAAACTCAGTCTGGGAATCTAGTATCTTTGTGCAACATATTTCCCTCAGGCCAGTGCCTGCAGCTGGGCGCTCACCATGCCCTGTGAGTGGTCAGCACTGAGTGTATTGTAAATTCATACCTTCCTTTGCACTTCTCTAACTTCCTTTGGCAAACAAGTTCTTTATTTTGGACTTTACATTTAAAGGAGAAATACACAGGGACATCAAATAGAAACCTTGAAACTTCCTCATCACCTTCCCTCCCTTCCCATCTCCCTTAACACAAGGGAGTCAGGAGCAAAGCAGGAAGCAGAGGAGTTTCCTACAGCTCACCTTTCTTCTGTCTTTCTCTTCATTTGTGGCCTTGGCCTTTTATCTTTATGCTGTGTGTGTGCTCGGTCTGGAAGAGGCAGGGAGCAAGTGGAGTGGGGAAAGGACAAGAAAAGGGATGGAAGTCATCCTGGAAGAAGGTGATTGGTGTAGGAGTTCAGATGTGTGAAGGAAGCAAACTGATAAAGAAAAGTTGGAAACGACTATAAATGCCAGGGCTAGGACGAAAGAGGAGCAGATGTTATTTCAGATCACAAGTGTGCATGTGAAAAAAGCTATTACCACCCCACGCCGCCCACAGAGCTGCCAGTGCAAGGAGTTCAAAAATTGCAGGAGTGATTTAAAATGAATATGCAATAAATTCCTTGCTTTCTGTTATTGAAATTAGGTTTAGTCTTCTCGGTTTTCAAGCTTCTTAGCACATTTCTGGTAGTTGCAAATTTACTTCAAAACCAAAACAACAAACTAGCAATACAAAAGCTGAGATTCTAATGAAATCACATGATTCCTTTAAGGAAGCCACCAAAAATTATAAGATATCTTATAAAAACACTGGAGTTGTCTGCCCTGTGTCAGTGGATCAGAGTATGAGAATCTGTGTAGTAAGATAATGTTCCTCTGCCAATGCATTCTGCTCAGATCACTGAAAGGTGGAGATAAACGCATTTCTAGCTGTGTCGTATGAGCTTACAGGTTCTCTGGCAGATAGAATTTGGGCTGTGGGCTAAACTAAACTCAGCTCACTTTTGTGTTGTTGAAGATGGCCTGAATTTGTTGGCTCTCTGAATGTTTCTGGTATGAATCAGGACTGGCTCTGTGCAAGTAAGTTGTCAGTAATACACTGAAATGAATGAGAAGGAAAGGAAGTATTAAGTCACTGAAACTGAGGCTACCCTGACAAATCTGATTTACAGTCTGGGTTGAGACTGGCAGTGTTCGTTGCTGGCTAATTATAGATACCAACTACAAACTGCCTTCCAGTATTTTTGATGTGAATCTATTTTATACAAACTCTTCAAGCGTGTGTCAGTTCTGCAAGGCTGATGTGTTTGTATACATGCAGGTATATACAATGTACAGACTTTATGTCTGCATAGTCAGGTTTTTTACAAGAGTTGAAATGGTTTGACTCTTCTAGTGTCTTGTTTTCATATGCCCGCGTGTATTATAGAGCATGGGCTAGTTTATAATAGTGCTGAAGAACCTACAGATTGTATTTATAGAAGTGCCTAAGGAATTTAAAGTCTAGCTCTCACTGAGAGTCTCACTGACTAGTTATGAAGGAAAATCATAGAGAATGGTGCCAGGACAGCACTCTGCTTCCACACGGAAACATTAATCCAGAGAATCCTCTTGCAAGGTAAATACTGTAGCTGAGCCAGATCCCAATTGCAGATGAGTGGAGACAGAAACTCCCTCTGAAGTCAATGGAAATTGCATCGTGATAACACATCTAGAGAAGATTTAATATAGAACTAAATGACAGTGATTGATGCCCTATTGGGACAATATTATCAAATTCCACCTAATTTGGAGCCAGTCAGCCAATGCCAGCTGCACTATAATGTTTAACCAGGTGTTAAATAGATGTGAACTTCTTAGATTTTCTCTGTCAAAAGGAAACAAATAAAGATCACAGGAATCTAGAATAAATTATGAACTTTCATGAACATCATTCTCATTTTTTTCCTTTTCTTCCCAATATATATTTCTCTATTTTAGACTGGATTTTATTTTGTGCATTTATTTTTAAATGGCCTCTTTTCTTAAACAGGGCAGCGCTTAGCTGAGATGATAAACCATCTGCCCTCCGCGTTGTCCGTAATAAGATGACTGCGATATTGTCATCCTCATCTTACTAATGGCAGAGAGGCTAAATGACTAGCTCAAGGCCACAGAATGAGAAAATTAGAATACAGGACTTCCTGACTCCCAGTCCTGTGCTCAGATCAGTAGACCGTGCTGCCTTTGCGAGAGGTGAGATCTTCCCAGTTATGTACCGTTACTAAAGCAAGAGTGTTCTGGTTATGCTATGAAGAGGTGAGCACGGGATATGCTATGGAGAAGTGAGAACTGATGGAGGGACTTTTCACAGCCACACACATTGCTTCAGAATGTTATGTATCTCACTGTGGCATCAGACTCCCTGGAGCAACAGGTCTTTGGGATGACTGTGGGCTGACACTAGAGTGTTGAACAGATCATTGTCACTTTGGGTCATCTGGGTTGATTTTTGGGTTTTGAGCTAGCACAACCTTCTTCTAATATTTGTTGATGTAATTTATTTCACTTCATGTGCTGGTAGGCTAGCATTGAAATAATCCCAAATGTATGCGTCAGAACTTCTCACATCAAGGGTTTGGGTGATTTCCATCTCCTCTTTGACTGTACTCTGCAGCTCATTTTATTCGTTCGGGTTGTAAATGCTGGCTAAGATAAGACTCAAACACCTCTCTTTGTCCAGAGGCTAGTGAGTGAGACTGCACAGCACTCCTGTGGGAGGTGCTAAAATGAGCCCTGATCGCTGAAGTGTTCTGCAGCCTGGACAACCTGTTCTGACAGTCCATCACTTCCACCACTCTGTTATTTCTCTGACAAGCCCAAAAGCACGTGCAGCACCTCTGTATCCAAGGCACTGACTGGATTAGCTCTTTTATCTTTACCCTTTGTTATTTCCACTAACTTTTAGTTTTGCATTGAGCAGCAGATGAAGATGAAGATAAAGACGATGACTTCCGAGCTCCACTCTACAAGAATGTGGAGATTAAAGGAATCCAAGTACGGATGAAATGGTGTGCCACCTGCCACTTCTACCGTCCCCCTCGCTGCTCTCACTGCAGTGTCTGTGACAACTGTGTTGAGGTAACAGTTCTGTTGATTACATGATCTGTTGGCTTTGCCTCAGTGATGGGGTTGCACATACTACTGGAAGGATGCAGTTGGGTGCTTCCCCCACTATTTCAGTTCTTGGAAGTTCCTAGTTGTCGCCTTGTTGATGGACTCCTACTGATTAGTGCCATTTGAAACACAGTCCTCAGTTATGGTGTGTGTTACATATGCAATAATGGTTGATGTCAGCTTTGTTGCCAGTGATAATTAGAATAAAAATTTATAGTACTGGCTATGTCTTCCTTGAGGTCGCTAAGAGCTCATGAATGTGAAAAAGGGATGAATGGAAGAGTTGATGCAGAGGCAGAGTTCAAAGGAGCAGGAAATTCAGGGTCAACCATTGTAGCTTGTCATGTGTGAGCTTAGGGCTTATCATCTGATCCAGAACGGTGCCCTATGGTCCTGGTGATGCACACAGGATTTTTAAAAAATAACCCCCAAACAGTAAGATGTGCTTTTGGGCCATAAACATCTCCCAAACTTTTAAGTACAGAGAGTTGTATCCACAGCAGTGTATTGCCAGGGGAGATTTTTTATTGCTGAGCTAAAAGTTCCACTTCTTAAGGATCATTTCTGCTGCAAGGCCTAAATTTTTTTCCAGTAGAAAGATGAAATCTTTAAGATGTCTAAAATATATTCAGCTGTGCCATTAAAATGAAAAGAATTACTTACTAATCAGAAAGGGAAAAAAATACCAGAATCAGCTGGAATGCTCTATACACCTTCCTTGTCCTAATCTTCTTTACCATAAGCAAGGGAATAGTCCCAAAGAAAGCGGCACAGTTACATGTGAGAGAAAGGCTGCGGGGGTTTATCTTGTGTCAGTCATTTTCTCCTTCAGGGCAATATATATCTAAGTTATAATTATCTGGAAGCATTGCTGTGCCTAGTAACCATTGATAAATAGGACAAGGCTGTCCTGTTATGGAAGGCCTTAGAAGGATGTGGGATTTGAGAAGATGGAGAGTAAGGAGCTGCCAAGGTCCCTGGGTAGAGGGGAATAGCCACAGCTATTCAGAAGTTGTGTTACACTATTTCTGTAGGCTCCTGTGAATTGTTGAATAGAGATGGATATTTTGTTGAACACCTGAGTCCTATACTCCTAGTTTTAAAACATAAATGTTTTCACTAATTCTAGATCCTAAGGATTGTTTAGGTGATAGTAAATTCTTAGTTGTCTCATGGAATTTCTTTCTTCTGCCTGCCCCAGTGGTTCAGCACGAAAATTAATTTTCAACAAATGAAGTTTTCTTAGAAGAAGATTGCTCAAAACTCAGTGGTATAAACAGTTGCAATTTCATGCTGCCGTAAGGCCTCTATGGGAGTCAGTTCTGCAGCAGAAATGAAAATGGGAGAGAATCTAAAAATAACCTAAATAAAATAGCAGAACGCAAGGTGACTCTGCCCAGCTGTCCAGAAATTTTACTGATGGTCAGATCAGTTGATGGTTCCTTAGTATTCTGGTGGGCAAGTAAGAATCTCTGCTTGTATAATTAAATTACGACTGGTGTGGAGGAATACAGGCAAAAAGCATTGACTTTTTGAATCAATAAATCATGGTCTTAAACAGCATGCTTTGTTGATTCTTGTGATGCTTAGTTCCCACTCACCTGTCTAGAAGAGCTTGGAGACAGTGATAGGAGCGACTCTGCTGGCTTTTCTGTGTGGAACCCACTCAGGGTTGTGATTCACATCTTTTCATCTTCAGTCTAGAATGTGCAATAAAAATTCTTTTCCCAGATATAAAACTTTACAGCTAATTTAATAAAAATCAACAAACAAAAGCCGACAACACTTGCAGAAATAAAATCAGTTAAAACCTAAAGCCTGCTGTGACCAGAGGGACCCAAAAATGAATCTGTGACAAAAATAGTGAGATTTTTGTTTTCTTTACTGGAATGTTTGCAGTGGGTTCTCGTGTAGTTTCATAATCCATAGATATTTTGGGCTGCATACAACCAGATTTTCATAATAGACATGTGCTATGTCAGCATTTCAGATATAGCCTGAAATGATCTTTATTAAATTGCCCCTGACATTTTCTAATGTGCTTTGAGACAGGTCTCATCCATTTTTCTGTATTTTGTACATTTTTGGTAAATACATTGTGCAAAACTTAAAAACCCCCTTTGTCATGATTGAGGAATGTTTAAAAATAGCATTACCACAAAACAAAGAATAAACCATTCATTTATTGATGTAACAAGTGTGTAATATCTGTTCTGAAGAACACAGAAATAAGAAGGGTGTATTTCTTGCACCTGATCTTGTCTTCACGTCAAGAATAATCCCATTGAAAACAGAAAACAGTAGATTTACATGCTTATAAAACAGTGTGAAGGCACTTGAAAGGTATCTGTGGCTTGCCCTCATTATTAAATCTCCTGTTAAAAGAGGTCTGACTTTATAAGGGACTTTGAACTTCTGACTGAGACAAATAGTTAGGTTTGGGTTCATAACTATTGTTGAACTTGCGCAGAACTTGGACTGTGTCTTATCCACTCGTTGCTTTTCTTTGAGGAACTGTGTGGGGAAAAAGTATCTTTCATGATGTCCATTGCTTCAAGTGGATTCATTCAGCTACGTATAAATACTGAAATGTGGGGCAGAGAATTTTGCAGTGGTGTTGCATCTAGGTTATAACTTCATTGTAATAGACTTCTCATACTAAGGATGATAAAAAATCACTGCTTCTGCTGCTAGCTGATCAATAGCCTTTTATTTTTTATATCCTCTCTTTGAACCCTATAAACACTCAAGTACCTCTCCACCCGTAGGTATAGAAACCACTGGGTCATAAGAGGAGCCTTATAAAGAGAGTCTAGCGTGTTGTAAAGCTGCAGAATTAACCTGATGTAATTTTACATGGCAATCGTTCAGATTTATCTCTAAGACAATGTATTTCCTTTTACCATTTGGATATTGTTCCCTTTCTTTACAAGGATTTTGACCATCACTGCCCATGGGTCAACAATTGCATAGGACGGAGGAACTACCGCTATTTTTTTCTCTTCTTGCTGTCCTTAAGTACGCACATGGTTGGAGTATTCACCTTTGGGCTCATCTTCGTACTAAACCATATGGAAAAGCTGGGAGCAGCTCATACGACCATTACGTATCCTTCTTTTTGATCTGTCAAGACTCGAGGTGGTCTTGAGGAAAATGTGAAAGAATGAATCTGAGCATTGTCTTCCTGGAACTGGTGGAGATCTGCTCCTCTCCTGATCCCCCATTGCTTTTTCCCTGTAAATGCTCAGTGCAGGTTTTCCTCTGTACCCATCTTAACTGTGTAGCCATCAGCTACCCCCAGAACTATAGCTGTCCTTTTGTCTGTCTCAGTCTTTGCCATGACAACCCAGCAGAGAAGAATATGCTGCCTCTCCAAATTTTACTTCCCATTGGCTGTGACTCTAAACTGCTGGGTAGTATTTGCTGTATTTAAAACTCTGTGACTGTATTTTAGAGTTTGCCCTGGAAGCAGTCCCCCTGCATGCTAGCCTAATACAGGAACTGCTAGCTCTGAGGAGCGCTGCCACTGTTGGTAGATGAGTGCAGAACAGTCTTTACAAGATGGTCAGAGCCAGAATCAATGACTTCACATTATTTTTTAACCATCTCAAGGATAAGGACCCAGGCTAGAAGAAGATGGACTTAAATTTGACATAAAATTTAGTTAGACTTAATTAAAGGTGATGGACAGCCTCCCTATTGCCAAGATTTTTTTCTCGTTTTCCTCTTCCTCTCAAAAAAAATCCCTTCATTTATCCCGGTTTCTTTAACTCCTGGGTACAGAATGGCCGTCATGTGTGTGGCTGGATTATTCTTTATTCCAGTCATTGGTCTCACTGGCTTCCATATTGTTCTAGTGGCCCGAGGGCGCACAACGAATGAACAGGTAAGAAGCAATCATTTCTCTGTCTTTGTGGCTAAGATGTTGAGTTGGGAAGTAAAGTCAGCAAGTCAACTTGGGTAAAACAAAAAATGATCCAAATCTTTTCAGTAGCACTCTTACTGGAGCTTTTGTGAAGATCTAGGAAGGTTGCCTAGGTTTTTATTTTCACACTTTTTTCTTGAATGCACTACAAGCAAAGATTTCCCCCTTCTAAGCACAAAGGATCATCCCAAGTTTGTTTACCATTTAAAATCTACTCATGGCCTTGAAATAGGTTTTATGTGGTGAGTACCATCAACCCCAGAAGTTCAAACTTCATGAGTCAGTCTGAAAAACTATGAGACTGAATGAAAGAAAGAAAGGAAAAGATTAAGCCATGCTTTTGCACTGTCTCCTGATATTTTGAACTCCCCCAGCTAACCCACACTGCACATAATAAGATCTGAGCTAGCTCTTTGTCTCACTTTGTCTCGCTCTCTCTTCTTCTCAAGCGTGGGGAGACATGCACACAGAGAGGCTATTGGACCTAACTTGTTTTGCTTCCCCAAACCAAGTGCCAACATGACATCTTGTGCCAAAAAGCCTGTAAAACTCTGGTTCCCCTGCAGTTACTCAGATGTACATAATCCACAGCCCCTATGTGGGCGATCCAGGCTTAGATGCACGTGCGCGTCAGCAGCATGACACAGGTGATAGTCATGGGATGGATAGCCTGCCCCTGCCATTTGTAAGGGGTAGCTCAGTTAGAAAGCTTGACACTGGGTCACGCAGTGTGGCAGTCAGCTGCACACAGCATTTTCAGCTTTCTTCCCAAGGCTAATTAATTGTATGCAATCCAGTGCTTTAGCCTTTGACAGCTCCAGCTGCAAAGCACCCCTCACACATCTGGGTTTTTTTCCACTTTTCTTCCACATCACACATCTTTTTCACTTTTTTTTATTCTTTTCAAGTGCATTTTTACTTCTTCTGCACCCATGGACACTCTCTAGCTCACGCTGAGCAGTGTGCTGTTCTGGCTGACCTGTGGGCTGATGGCTTCATGCTGCTGTAGCTTGTATGGCTGCTGTGCAGATATAAGAGTTCAAGACATCTGTCTGAGGCCAGGCCCTTGTAAACTGGGATGAGATTGTCTCCTGTCCCACAAGAGACAATAAAAACGTTTATCCAGAATAGTGTGGGAGTTTTACATAAGCAAAGAATCTGAAGTCATCCTGAATTGTTGCATAACATGGCCTTTGAACAAAGCAGGCTTACCATAGCTGTAGATCTTTAAATGCTTTTCTCTGTCCTGCTTGGAATCAGCTGCTCTTTGTTTTAAATTGATTTCGGCCAAGTATTAGGTTTGAGAGCGCTGACAATAGAAGCATGAAACTCAGGGTGTTTTGGTCTCATAGCCCAAATCATGGTCTGCCTCAAGCTTGTCTTTGTGCAGTGATGAGAACTGTCCATGAAAATTTCAAGCTGAGGAGGAAGGAAAAATTTAAATTTAAAAAAAAAAGTAAAATTTAACTTCTTGTGTTTGTGGTTACACTAACATTTATGAAGGTTGAGAATTTTTTATATTTAACTTGATGAAATAACTGTTGGAAAATGCATCCCAGCTTGGCTTGGTTTTCTGAGCTACCAAACCACTTGAGATAAGTTCATTTTCCCATGCCATTTTCTCAAAATTAAATCTAATCTACTCTTAATTTCTGTTTAGTCATATGTACTGCCCATCTGTAACTGGAGGATAGGTGTTCCCAGCCCTCAGGTCCCTTTCAAAGGAAGTATATCTAACTAATTAGAACACCAGGCCAGGAGTGATGGATATGAGATCTGCTCCTGGTTTTGCCACTGTTCTAAAACATTCACTCTTCTCCTGCAGTTTCCATATTGATTCTCTTTTCTCCCACTGTTATCTGCTTCCAGCTTTCCAGTTACAATATGCTCAGCTACACTTGTCCTCTTTGCCCAGTACATTTTATAGGCCAGTGGTACAGACATTTTTGGTGTTTTACGGTAAATTTTTTGTATTTGTTAATTCCAGAGTTCGTAGGTTTTGAGCATTCACAGTAGGCAGACTGTGATTTTGGAGTGTATAGTGGCTGAGTTTAGATGTTTGTGAGCTTTCTGAATGCCTCTGAAAGTCTTTTATGGAATCCAAATAACCCATAACCCAACATCTGCTCATATCCTGCTATTTTTAGTTTCTGAATAGAGTAAATAAATATCCTTCCTTTTGAGACTGCTTTCTATCAGTGGATTTCAAACTACTTTAGAAACCAAATTGATATAATTAGTAATGTAATCTGTGAGTTAGAGAAATTTTATTTTCATATCATGTTTGAGAAAATGGGCACAGAGATATGAAGTGCTTTGCCAGCATCTGGCACAAGTCAGCTGAAGCCCAGGATTGAATGCAGATGTGCCAAATGTCCCAGGCCCATGTTTTAGTCATCAGGTTACTCTTCCAACACTCAGAACTTCTAACGTTTCTCTCTTGGCCTTTTAAAGAGTTTTATGTTATATCAAAGAGGCCAGCATAATATATTGCAAAATCATTTAATCGTTGTTATTTTATGTGCAAGTAATTAAAGTGTTTCTGGTACTCTGTAAACTTGTTGCTAGGTCGGAACTATGAGTTGATTAAAATGCATTACTTGTAAACAACAACAGTAATGCTTTTAATGACAATCATTATTAATCTCTCTGGCTTTATTGGTATTTATCCCCGTATGGTAACTTTCAAGTCTCTGCCTGTAGAGTACAAACCCTTTTAATGCTTATGAAGCTTTGAATGGATCCCGCCAGTCTAATGAGGCTTGGCTTTCATTAAACTAGCTCATTTCCAAGCAAACATCATAATCACCGGGGAGTTCCTGGCACCCTCCCACGTAAGGCAGTGGTTTGTACTGATTGTCGCTAGGGATGGGATGCTGATAGAGAGGAAACATTGCTCTCATCCAACATTACGAATGTTGAATTGACATTCCTGTTTGTTTGGAGGGGACTTGGCAAGGCAGAGGACTGGAAGTGACAGGGGAAGGGACCAAAACAGGATGTCTGGCTGACAGCAGGCACAAATCTAATACAGAAGCAGCATGGAGAGGAAAACCTGGCCGCTTTGAAACCCAGTCACATTGAGCTCACTGCCCTTGTGGGAAAGGAGCTTTAGCTGGTGTGCCTCCTAGCTAGAAGCAGCTGATGGAGGTGATCTGTCAGAGCAGGAGACAGGAAGCACAGCATTCAAAGAAAAATTATCTGTTTGGGAGGGACAGGAGGGTCAGAGCAAAGCATACTTGTTCTTGGCTTTCTGAGGGTTGGATGATGACTTGTGTAACCAGAGGTTTGAGTACTGTCCTGAATATGTTTCCAGGTAACAGGTAAATTCCGTGGGGGAGTGAATCCTTTTACCCGAGGATGCTGCGGAAACGTGGAACATGTGCTCTGCAGCCCCTTGGCTCCCAGGTAAGAGACATGCTCTCAACTGGGAACGAGGGAGGTAGAGTAGTTGTTGGGACAGAAATGTGCTTGGTTGGGCTTACGTGTGAAAGACCATTGATGAAATCAGAGGGAAGTAAAGCAAAACCTTCCTGAAGGCAGAGCTCTGTGATAGCTGTTTCACTGTTGCATGGCTGTAACTTGTCCAAGCAGTTGCTTTCTTCATGTAAATCATAACCCTTATCCCAGAAATGTTTATTTGGAATGACCATGTTAAATTATATCAAGAGCTGATACCTTTGTCTTTACCAGCTTGTTTATCCAGTGGATTTCAGTAACAAGGTAAGGTTCTGTATGTTATCATATTCCCAACACGACATTTTGCACTGCACAGTCAATGTCCAGGTGTTCTAGTCTGATGGAGAAAAGGAAGGAATCTAAAATCAGCCTTTCTCCTTAAGACTTAAATCTAATTTAAGGCTGCTGTGGTTTTCAATCTCGCGGGCACTTTCATTATCATAAAAAAGATTTTCAATGAGGTCTACATCATGGAACTTGGGATTTTATTTATGGCTTTCCATTTTGGGGGAAATGGATTTATCGTTTCACATTTTGAAATCAGGATTTTAATGCAATAGATCAGATGGAGTATAAATATCCTAGGTTCTGAGCTGTCCAGCCTGCAAACATATTAATAATTGTACTACAAGAAGACTTATTTGAGCCTTTTCAGAGTTTTGAGAAATTCCAGGCCTTGACACTATTATCTACACTTTTTTTTTTTTGCCGTCACTATGCAACAAATAAGTCCTGCAAGACTGTGATGTGTGTTAAAGGCACTGGAATATCTGCTTCTCAAACTTTCCAAAACATGAAAATCCAGTCAAGATCATGGAATGGGAGAATGGTTTGGGTTGGAAGGGACCTTAAAGATAATCTAGTTCCAACCCCCCTGCCATGGGCAGGGACACCTCCCACCACAGCAGGTTGCTCAAAGCCTCATCCAGCCTCACCGTGAACCCCTCCAGGGATGGGGCATCCACAGCTTCTCTGGGCAACCTGGGCCACTGCCTCACCACCCTCACAGTAAAAAATTTCTTCCTAATATCTAATCTATATCTCCCCTCTTTGTTTAAAACCATTGCTCCTTGTCCTATCACTACACTCCCTGCTCAAGAGTCCCTCCCCATATCTCCTGTAGCCCCCTTTCAGCACTGGAAGGCTGCTATAAGGTCTCCTCGGAGCCTTCTGTTCTCTAGGCTACACAACCCCAACTCTCTCAGTCTGATATTTTAAGAGAGCCACATATTAGAAGTTGGGAGACGCTCCTGTTAAGACAGGGGTGCAAGTGCTAGCATCATGGCTGTGCTCAGACTTTCAGCAAGCATAGTGTTTGTGTTTTGTGAAGACCTGTTCAAATTGTCCTGTATATTGAAAGTCACTACTACTAGATTAGGTTATTGTTTATTTTAATGATGACTGTTGAACAATTAATTAGGTACATAGTTGAGCCTAAGAAAAAGCAAGCTGTGAGTGTGAAGCCTCCTTTCCTCAGACCTGATTTATCTGAGCGACAGATCACAGTGAAGATCAGTGACAATGGGATCCAAGCCAACCTCAACCGGAGCAAGGTAAGGCAGCCTTCAACCACTGCTTTTGAAGAGCGCGGACTGAGTATTATCAAGCCTGGGAATGAGTTTGTCATGGAAAATCTCTTTGAGGTGATGCATTTTTTTGAGAAAATTATAGAGGTTGAGTCCTTGTCATATACTTCGTCCTCTGAAATAACCCGGGTTCAGTAATAGCAGCTCTTGATCCAGTAACAGCTCTTTTTGCAGCTCTATAATAGAATGCCTCTAGGCATCTTTTGAAAGAGGTGTCTCTTCTTTGCAATAGTTACTTTCTGTCCCAAGAGTTGCCACCTCTTGGTGTTCAAATTAATTTTAACAAACCTAACACTGTGTGGGATCCCTTGTACCACCGGGTCAGCTGTTCTACTTCAAGGAAGGTTTTGAGCTTCCCGACTGCAGGAAGGCTTGGTGGTCCAGTGAAAGGAACATTAGCTCAGAAGCTGAGTTCTCCTCTCCTTTTTTCTGTTTCTCCTGGCATGAAATAGAATTATTTGTTTGGTCATATAGAAAACAGTGGATTCAAAAGAAGCCACCTTGCAAAATTTTTATGAGGCGTTACTTGTTACACTCTTTGGATAGTTACTTGCTGAGAGCTGCCTGGAAAGTTGCTGAAAAATGCTAGAAAACACCACTGTCTTCTACCACATATTAACTAGCGTGATGATAATGTTATTTAGCATGACAAGTAGATTAGGATAGTGCATTTAAAGTTATGCTGTCTTGTTATGACAATGCTAATTTTACATATGACAGTCCTTGTCTACAGTGGATGCTAAATCATGTTTGTCATTATAGGTATGGGTCATTCTTGCTCTGTGGTACATCCAGCACTCTGACACGTGCTGTTATTTAACCAAGTTGCAGGTAATGATTGATTCTTTTGTCGTTTCCAGTCTAAAATTAGCCTGGAAGGTCTGGACGATAAAAGTATGGATCTGCAGCCACCTCTCCCACCCAAAGGAGATCCAAGCAAGTACTCTGAGCTAAAAGGGCAGCTGGGGACCAGTGAAGGTACAGTTGCATGATCAGGGTTTTATTTTTATTAATAAGAAGATATTTCAGCCTCTTTAAAAGGCTTCTGGTATTCTTCCAAAACAGTAATGGGATCTGGGTGAAGGGTTTCTTTCTGTTTATAGGAGTTCTGAGCGAGGGGAGTAAACAGCAGGAAAGGGAGAGACAAGTCAGCTTGAAGTGGCTCACTCAAGCCTAGGTTGGATATTTCATATCGGTTTTGCAGGGCTTTTAAACCCTTTTAAACCTCTTCTTAAATTTTTGATCAATTTTAAAATTAAAATTGTCATTTTGAACTAAGGAATCAGAAATATTAGTATGAAATGCTTAGGCATTACAAACTGAATTACTTCATTTATGAAAATGTGAAATTAAAGTTTTGCTACTATTAGAAAACCTCTTTTTTCAGGCAAGACTAGTAGCTGAATTCAATTCAAATACCTAGTATTTCAAATTATGGCAAAATTGCTATTCACCAAAATACATCATCCCACAATATATTACCTTCTTTCTTCTCTTTAGGTTGCTCATCTGGCAGCAACGTATGGTTATTTTCACAGAGGCCCCATTGATTTTGGTGGAATTCTGCACAAAAGTCTTGCAAATGTTATTCTTTCCAGAAAAGATCTGTTTGCAGAGTACCATGAATAGCAAGGAATTAGTGATGATAGCTTTCTGTCCACACATTTTAAGGGAAAGTCTATTTTTTTTTCTTTTACAGAAGGTGGCCTTTCACCCAAACTTATCAGCCCTCCTACACCTGCCATGTACAAGTATCGACCAGCTTTCAGCAACAATCCCAAAGTCCACTACCATGCTACGGCTGAGCAGGTGAGCGAGCCTGGGAGAATTTGCTCCCAGCTAACACTGCGCAACATGGAGCTGAGGATAAATTCACTGCAGCGCTCTTGTGAATGTCAGAGTGTAAAAGTAAATAACAACACTTGGCATTGTTGTGGGATAGTGTATATTTTCATTATGCTTCTTATGAAAGCATGTCTGCTTTCACAGCTTTCCTCTGTTGAGCTTGACACGTCTGCCCTGCTGACAGCCGTGCACTGCTGCTTTACCAGTGTCTCGGCCTGATCCTGAGATGCTGAGAAGTGTCACCTCCCATTGGCCTCTCCTGACATAGGTGCCAACTCACATTCACTTCAGAGGGAGCTGGACATGCTTAGTGCTTTTCTGGATCAGACCCTTTAGCCAACAGACAACATGCCCAGTGATTCCTGAAGATGTCAGCTTGCAAAACAGAAAGATCTTTTAAAGCATCTGAAGAGATATTTAAGTTAAAATTAATGGAAGATTCCTCATGTTTGACCTGCCTTAGCACCTTCTCAGTGCATTTGGGTTATATGGAAAAAAAAAACTTCCTAACACTTGGCGTCATTTCCTCCTATCAAGAAAACTGAGGTCCAAACAATTAGAGAGACTTGCTCTGGAATTTTTACTGTTTTCTCTTTTGCTTAGGAGTTTTGAAACAGTTTACACCGTTTCCTTTGGAAGCAGAGTGCCAAACTAAGCCTAGTGCTAATAGGCTTGTTTTTCTCACTTATCGCTCATGGATTTGTGGCAAATCCTTGCCCCCCCCCAGGACCTGAAAACAGCCATTTGAAAATCACTGGTCTGACTTTTATATTTGCAATATGGATCCAAGTGGAGATGATACCCTTAAAACACACACACCACACATAGTGCAGTTTTCTTAGTTAGTTTCATCAGGATCTCCAGTGTCACCCCTACAATAACAAGAAGTGGGTGATATAAATAAGGAAAGGAAAATATGATAGAGATATATAATTGACTGCAGCAACACTGGAATAAGACAGAATGCTCCTTAAATGGCAAAGAAAACTTTTCTAGTGTCCTTCTCTTTTAAAAAAGAAGGGTGATGATAGATGGTGGAATTCCAGCTACCACCGAGTTCGGGTTTTAGTCGCAGTGCAATAATTGTAAATCTTATTCTCTGGATTTTTCCACCTAATGAAGAAAAGATTGGCTTATGAAAGGGAACATAAGAACAACACTGTCTTCACTGTATCAAAAAAGTTTAATATCCTATCATCTTTATTACACAAGAAATGGCTTGACATCCCATTCAAAATACTCTGTTTACAGGCATCAGCTAGGAGTTTTGAGCTGTGTAAACAAGTGTTCTGGGTCATGATACTGAAAGTGAGGAAGCCATGGAAGGCAAGCTTGTTTTCTTCATTCAGTACATAGCCATAGATGCAATATAGATACAGGACAGGTTCTGTTTAGGCCAGAGACTGGGCAGACTTTAGCATCTCTAAAAAGATGTTATTACTGTAGGCTGACAGGTGTGCATGCAGTCAGCTTGGTCGACTTGTTCAATTTTATAGTGGTCACAACTTTCTAGTATTCAAGTAGGAATATTACAAAAATGAGTTCACTTGGCAAGCTGATAGGATAGCATGTATTTGTCTGCCAAGCTGTATCTAAGCATAAAGTACAGAGG